ATGCCCATATGATCAATTAAAGTCTTATTGATGTACAAATGGCCATTTTCCACAGAACAGAATTTATTGGTGTGAAGATTTTAGGTTGGATAGTCCGGTTATGAAAAGCAATGTAGGTATGACGCTCATTTATCCTCCTTTTATCGCTATTTTATAAAGAATGTAAACAATCATACAAATAAATAAAAACATGTTAATGTTATTTTCAATCTGATTTTAACTGATGTACATTTTAAACACAATATTGTTAGACTATTTTGCAAGCATTGCTTCTCTGATCAACATGGTTCTTCGTTTCTGATTCCATTCAGAATGATTAAGCGTTTTTGAAGGAATTGAGAAAGTCAATGATTCAATAGGCCATTCACAAAGATAGCTGCTAAACTGAATACTAGAATTAGTACTAATCTTACTGATTTAGCATATAATTTTCATGGAGTGTTCATTTGATTCAGAACAGGACTTCAAAACGCGTCTCGGACCAGTGGGTTGGTGAATCTTTTGATTCAGATCGGCACTGGAGCGTGCATTGCGGATCATTTGATTTAGATCGGAACTTCGGAGCAGGTTCGTGAAACAGTTGATTCAAATCAGAACTTCGGAGCACGGAGCGCGAAGCATGAATCATTTTATTCAGATTGGTACTTTGGAGCGTTCTTGAATCATTTGATTTAGATTGGAACTTCTGAGCAGGTTCGCGAAACAGTTGATTCAGATCGGAACTTCGGAGCGTGGATTGCGAATCTTTTGAATCAGATCGGTAACTCATTTTGACGTTTACATCACATAATCATTTCCATATGTATGGATCTTCTGATATAGTAAACTTGCTCCGAAGCGCACCTGATGCAGCATTGCACATGCAATGTGGAGCACTTTGCTACGAGTCTGCGAAACCTTAGTCACAATAAAGAAACCTCAAGGGCTTGTAGAAGCTAAAATGGTATGGTTGCTTCAGTGTTTTTTTTTTAATCTCGCATTTGCTTTTGTTAACACTACTGGTTAAGTTTAGCGTAGGTGGTACGTTACTTTTGAACACAACAGAGCATTAACTTTTTAGCCCCACTCAGCAGACATTTCATTTCTGAACAGCTGCGGTATGTATGTACCACAACCATCGTAGTAAAACATTGCCAGATTAAATCTTTCAGATAAAACTGAACGACCATTTAGACAAAAAGGTTCTTCTATGGCATCGTGAAGCACCTTTATTTTTAAGAGTGTACTTCGGAGCATCGTGAATCATTTGATTCAGATTAGAACTTCGGAGCACGGATCCTGAATCATTTGATTCGTGCTCCGAGTCCTGATTTGTAATGATAATTCACGTATCAATATTCAGATTGGTGCTGCGTCTCAATGTGCCTACTTATACTACACCCTTAAAGTATGTACTCTTTTGGTGAAGAAAAAGTGCACACTTTTGAGTGTGTAGTAGAAGAGTAGGCAAGCTTTGGGACATACTATCACGTCACACATCTGCGTCTTTAACGGATGCTCTGTTGCACCTGTTACACGCACCCTGTCACTGTAAACTGGCCTGTCAGTCATCTTGTCACAGTTAACATCCTCCACATTGCATTTCATTTAACTTCCTACTGTATTGGAGAGAAAAGAAGTAGCACATTGATCTGCCAGTCGCGGGTGGGTCTTTCATGCTGAGAACTCTGCTCATATTTTATGCATAATGATGCATTTAAAAGTTCACAACCAAACGGATGTTTATAAAAGTTTTTTTTTACATTGCTGTTGCAGATGATAACATTATATAAATAATGTTATTTAGATAACATTAAATAAATATTTTTTACCAGGTTAAATGTTGAATATTAGTAACTCAAACCCCCTTTTCTAAGCCTCTCTACCTAACCGCCGGTCTTGCACATCCGCCATGTTTGTAGTTTTATTCCTGTTTGTAGTTCTGGACAGAATCCTTCACCAAAGCGCAATGGATTGTGGGCAATATTAGCCATTAGAGTGTGCACGGATCCACACTTCAAAAATCGACCTGAAATAGTAGACCATCCAGGGACTTTTGGCATACTCTTTTCAACATACTATGCTTTGGGACACACTTATTCTAATCTCACATACTATTTAGGATGGATAGTATGAACATTGAGATGCAGGGTGGGACTTTGGAGTGTGGATTGCGAATCATTTGATCGGAACTTCCGAGCGGGTTCGTGAGTCTTTTGATTCAGAACGGAACTTCGGAGCGGGTTAATGAATCATTCTCATCACACTTGACTATAGTAAAAGTGTAGTAACCATGTTTTTTGTATAACTAGAGTTTTACTTCAAATGCCATGATTAAATGATGGCTAAACCATGGTTGATTTGTGTTTTTTTTTTTTTTGAGTAAAACTATAGTTTCCAAAGTCAGACATCACTTGTTATGATTTTCAAGGGTGTAGAATTTGGTAGAGACGCTATTACATGTCCCCACCAATATCCAGCGACCAATGCCCCACCAATGCCAAAATCAAACTTACACCCTTGCTATTTTAGCACATTTTTTAAATGTCAGAACTAGATGCTATTCTATAGTACTATTCTTATTATTTTAGCATATTATTTTTAGTATAGCCTATCTTTTTCATATCATATCTTACTATTTTGATAGAATTTGTTGAATTAAAGATGGATTTTGTTGATAATTATTTGATTTGATTTATTCAAATTACATTTACATTTCTGTCACTAGATTATTTTTCCGTTTTTATTCTGGTGCTAAATCCTTCACGGAAATGTCTTACTTTTTGGTGCTAAAGAAATAGCCACCCTTGTTTGAAAGGGCTTGTAATTTTGCAGTTGTTCCATGTTCTGAAGGGACGTCCATTCAGGTGAAGCTGTGTTTCCTTTGGCAGACCATCATAAACATATCTGGGCAGATTTGTTTTATCCAGATAATGATGACGGTAGTGATGGATAAGCTGTGTTGAAGTCCTAAATGACTCAGTTGGGCTTTTCTATGAACGATTAATGTAATGGGTCCTGAATTGAAACCACAGGAGTGCACACACAATTACATGGTTCACTATCAGTGCAAACTAAGGTTCACACAGCTGCACAATACCACTGTCAGTCCTGTTTGGGGTGCCAAATACGGATCAATTCAGACGCAGTTTGGTCAATTTCAAGACTGAAAATAACTGAAAATACATTTTCTAGAGTCACATTGTCAATGTCATAAGTTCACAAATGTTATGTCAGCTTCAAGTTATGAAAAATGGGAGAATATAAGTTTTTGTGTGGATGAAGCTTGAATGATGAACTGAAAAGAATGAGCGTAACCACATGTCTGAGAGGATGAAGCAGCGGGACTTGCCTGAAATAGTGTAGTAGAAACAATATAAAGTATATTTTTTCAATCCTTTCACAAGTGGATGCATAACACTACCATGTCCAAATGGTGATTTGTCTAATCTGTCCACTTGAGACAAGTCTTAATACCAGGTGTAAAGAGGAACTAAGCAGTGGCTCCCAACCCTGGTCCTGGAGGCACCCCAACATGGCACGTTTTGTATGTCTCCTTAATCAAACACACCTGATTCAGGTCATCAGCTCATTAGTAGAGACTCCAAGACCTGAAATTGGTGTGTCAGAGAAAGGAGACATACAAAATGTGCAGTGTTGGGGTGCCTCCAGGACCAGGGTTGGGAACCATTGCATTAGAGGGGCTGCTTTGTCTTTTGCCATTCAGTTCATAGTGCTGAAAGTACAGAACAGGGCTTTGAGAAAGAACAGAACATGTTAGTGCTTTTGTGAAAGGACAAGTTGTGCCTGATGTAAATGCAAGGACAGCTGATGATGATTCGGGGATGTTCATGTCTGTGTGCACTTTAGTAGGAGTGATGCAGATGACAGACCTCAATCTGTCACTTTCTCTTTCCTTTGGCATCTTCTGATGGCAAAATAAACTCAAATAAGCCTGTCTGTACGTGGCTCTTGCCAACACCGAATGCACGTTCATATAAATAAGATGAAATTAATAGAGATACTTTAAAGGCATCATATGTGTAAGGCATTCAATAAGTTTATTATATAATTTATTTCTATATCATTGTACATAAAGAAGGATTATTTTAGCTAACTAAAACTAGTAAAAGAAATCACATGAATTACTTAATTACTTAAAATAATGTAAACTGAAATAAAATATAAAAAAATGTAACTTATTTTATTTTAGCTAGTTTCCAAGACAACATTTCTCGTTTTCATTATTAATTGAAAATTACCAAAATTAAAGTATATATAGACACATTTTAAAACATCAAAAACGAATAAAAGGGACAAAAACATAATATAATTATTAAACTTGAACTAAAATTAACATGAAAGCAAAACTTCAAAAACGAATAAAAGTGACAAAAACATAATATAATTATTCAACTTGAACTAAAATGAAATATAAAAATAAAATCTCATTTAAAATATTAACAAAAACTAGTGACAGAGAGTGCATTCTTGTATTCTGTCTGTTTTTTTTAGTCCGTCTGCATCGCTTTTGTTGTTTTTTCAGTTTCTTACACCATGAGCACTTCGTCTTTTAAGATGCTCTGACAAGTTAAGCATCAAAAATTTAAAACTTTATGAACCCCCTCCATCCCATTGCACTCAAAATGTTTTTGAACGCACAAACATATGCCATGTGAATTTGTGCTATATCATCACAGCACATTTTCCTTGTTACATGTACTCACTGCAGTAACAGTAAATAATGCATAAGTACATGCAACTAAAGCCTTTTCCTAACCCTAACCCTATAGTAAGTACGTTACTAAATGTAAAATTCCACTAACAAAGGCACCATAACGTAAAGAGTAACTGTTATTATTTAGCATGTTTTTTTAAAAAATTGTACTAAACAAACATGTTACAGCCTTGCTGCACACACCTCATTGCATTTATTTGCAAGATTTTTGCCCATTACTGTGTTTGAGAAAATCTCAGCTCTTAAACTGTAGTTAAGCTGTGAGAGCAGGATGTGTTCTTACCGTCTGCCCGGCTTATCCAGACTCCACAGCACGTCTGTTCAGCTGACCTCTGGGTAAAAATGGCATTGATCGATATTCCAACCCTTTCTCTTTAGAAGAGTAAAGGAGTGCTGTAGTTTCTGTTTATGAAAAATCAGAGGCTCGTCCAGGATACGCACTGCATTCCTCAGTTACAGGATCCTCCAGAAATCCAGGGATGCCAAAGGTGTAAAAATGTCCAAGTATCCTCATACTGCATTAAACTTTGGAGACTTTTTGCCAAAACGGGAAGAGAGGAAAACAATTTCCTCGCAATCTGCACTGTTGAAGTAACCAGCCTCATAAAATGAGTGCGAGGAGTGCGGAAAAAATAAATGTTGAAGAATGTCCTCCCAATGTGTACTGTGATGAGCAACCTGCCTTAAATAATGAGCGCTGCGAATAGGGATCCTCCAGAAATCCAGGGATGCCAAAGGTGTAAAAATGTCCAAATATCCTCATACTGCATTAAACTTTGGAGACTTTTTGCCAAAACGGGAAGAGAGGAAAACAATTTCCTCGCAATCTGCACTGTTGAAGTAACCAGCCTCATAAAATGAGTGCGAGGAGTGCGGAAAAAATAAATGTTGAAGAATGCCCTCCCAATGTGTACTGTGATGAGCAACCTGCCTTAAATAATGAGCGCTGCGAATAAAAACCCATTAGCTATTCTCCCAGCCAGCATTACACTTTAACACAAAGGATGTGCCAACCATCTGTCACTCAAAACACTGCAAACTATCACTCATGAAAATACATATATGTTTGAAGAATTTGGAAGCACTTAAGCAGCTGTTCATGTGCAGTTCTTTAAATGTTTACTATGCAGGTTCATGTCTTACATCCTTTATATACACAACTCCGAAAGAAGTAATCACTTGGAAAACAGCTTCAAACAGATGTTTGTCCAACAGATTCCTCTGTAATGATTCATAAAAGTGAAGAAAAGCTGACTGCAAGTCCCTACAGAAGCCAATATCCCACTATGCTCTTTATATTGCCACGAACCGTCCTTCTGCGTCAACACCTCTCCTAAAACACAAATCCCGGCACTCTTCAGAGTTGAATCTCCAAATACGCCATGTGGGCCCCACGCCTCACTACGGATGGAGATTATGGTCCCAGAGTCAGCGACCTGTCTGATGTGTCCCGTCCTCTCTCTGAGAGTGATTCCGTCCGCTACCTGGTGCGCCACGCAATGAAGCAGCCCTGACAACTGAACTGAATTCAACAGTGTTTACTTCCACTCCACGGGAGGAGAGTGTCTGACAGTTAGAGATGAGTTTTCTGTGCTGCTGGAGAGCTGGAGAAAGGGCTGGCTGACTGGAGGAGAGGGAGGGTGTGCGGTGGGGGTATTGTGAGGGCTGATGGCATGTGCTTCAACCCCTCTTTATACCACACACACCAGCTCCACCCCCTGTCCGTTGTGGACATTTACCTTCAGCCTGGATATCGGTCTATGCTAGAGATGTAAACAAAACTGTAAAGTCCTGCCAAAGTCATGCTAATTTGTTTATTTCTCAATTGTAGTGCCGAGCTGCATTGATATTCCTTAAACATTGTGGTTTGGGGTCATTCTAAATCCCTAAAGGCTGGAATAAACACGACTTTAAAATCACACACTAGAGAATCACACACTACCAGACTTTAAAGCCATTCACAACAAACTCATGCAGAAATATGTGCATTTTTACTAGGAGACATGTCACAAATGAAACGGTGTATTTTAAAATCATTCTCAAAATATCAAAAAACAATTTTTTTGCTATCACTGCAATTTTTTGTTCATTTCTTGAATTAAATTTTATTTTTATATTTTCTGCTTGCATGTTAATTATAGTTAAAGTTTTTGCAATATTGTTGTGCGTTCTTGACATTTTTATTCGTTTTTGTTGTTTTTAAATGTCTATATAGTTTTTGTTTTCTTTTTAGTTTTAGTTTATTTAGTGCATCAATTTATAATTCTTGATGGATTCATAGTCTGAAGCTAAAAAATAGGAGTCTGTGACCATCATACACTATCTCACTTCAGTTAATTCAGCCAAAACAAAGTCAGACTTGGCTTTGTAATTTCAAAAATTGCATTTTTAATTTAATTAAATTTTTTTGACAAATGCTAGACTTTTTAAGACGTAAAAGTTTGAGATTCTCCATTTGACTTGATGGCATCATCACAATATTTGCATAACAAATTGCAATTGGTGTTCTTTGGTATTGAACCGTCACAATTTTGTAATGTTAACTACTATTATATTAAACGTGGAAATTTGATAAAAACTAAACAAATACATGTTATTTAATCTTTGTTATATATTTTGTATATATTATATTTTATGTTTGCATTATAATATTGCATGTGCAAGTTTCACAGCTCCAATATATTATTAGGTATTACATTTGAGTTCGTTATGGTCACGTGAAAGAGACTTGTTGCATAACTTGTTTTAGTGCTGTCATGTGAACAGCACGAAACCCAAAAATTAACAGGTTTTTATGAGCAATGCAGGATTCACACAATATGTGTATTTTTGCTATTAATTTAACTAATCTTTGGAGAGCTGCCCGACATTATTCACTATTTCACATTATATATTGCATACTCATAAAACATCTTTTAAAACACCTTCAACAGATCTTTTCAGTGCATCTAATTTAAATTCAGTACATTTATTAACTTAGCAAATGCTTTTATCCAAAGCAACTTACAAATAAGGAAATTCCTCTTAAAAAAGGATATATCTCCCCTAACTGTTTAAAAGTTATCAGGAAATGTTTAAATTCTTTTGAAGCCATATCATTGATCAGGAACATGTGACGATGTCCTATTGTGTTGTGTTTTTCCCGTGAATTTCCCATGAATGTACAAGACTTCCTATAACTGCCGCTATAAGTAAATAACTAGAAGAAGAATAAGTGCAGTAAATTGTAAAACTATGTGTGCTATGGTGAAATTCTGTAGAAACACCTTTTCACTCAGAAACGAAATGAATGATTCCAAAAAAACAGTAACATTGAATTAAACATGAAATTCTGAAGCAGAAAAATTTCGTTTTTATGGATCAAATAATTTTTACAGTGCACAAACCACTGTGTTTATGATTAAAATAATACATTAATCTAACAAATACCAGTGTGCAAAATCAAGCAGCATAACTGCCTGTTTTAGTCCAGGTAAATTAACAGGAAGCGACAAAGCCTTGCACATTCAAGTTATCTTACGTTAAAAACAAGGTGAATACAAAAATAGCCCATAATAAAAGTATAGGATTCAAAATCAAATTTAAACTTTTTTTTAGGACTTTGAACATTTTTTATATTTTTATATTACTATTTTATTTTTTACTATGTTAGTTTTTTACTATTTAATATTTCTAAATCACTAATAAGCAGGTAAGCAAATTTGTGACATGTTTTTTAACTAAATTCGAAAAACAAATCTTAATTGCATTAATGACTGGAATCTGCACACTTTTTCACACTTGAAATGTGTTGCATACCATGAGAAAAGTAGGTTTATTGGTAGATGAAAGGTAGTGCAAATATCAAAAATTATATACAAAGAATTGCTAAATCAAGATGCATTTACTTTGGAATAAAAATGACTTAAGATTGCAAGTATTATTATTTTTTGAAAAATCTATCAAAATACAGTGAGTTTATGTTCAAAACAAGAAAAACAAATCTGCCAGTGCTGTGAGATATTATCTTGCTGTCCCTTTAAACCTATTGAATTAAATAGATTTTTTCTTCCCCCGCTGTTAGGTATTTGATCTTGTTTTAAGCATAAACTCACTTCATCTTGATACCAATATTGCATCTCAAGTAAATGTATCCTGAGTTAAGAATGTTTAGATGTTTGTAATGGAAAACAAGACTAAAATACTTTTAGCAGTGTATGAAATAATTGAATAAACAAACACACATAAGGCTGAAGGACGTTTACAGTTAAATGAGGGGCGTTGCAATTCTGTGGATATTCACTAAGCTTTCTGAAGCCACACGTTTTCTGCAGGACGACAAGAAAACCTCGTAATGTCAGGGTGAACTTTGACACAGGGACAGTCAAATCCCTTAAAATGCTTAAGTGCTATGCTGTAAGACATTATAGACAAGGTATATATAGCCGGATTAAATCACCACTCTCTCTCAGACGAGTCTTGATTCAACATGTTTAGGTCATTATTTATCGGATACAATCTATACAGAAAGCCATGGTTGTTTAGAACAGTTCCCATAGAAACTAATTTAGCCCGATGACTGATCTCTGGGGTGTGCCGTTAAAGCATTTTGGTCGACACAGGCCATTGTGAGTCGTGTCCATTCATAAATTCTTTTAAAGCCATGGGATGATTGTGGCACTGGGAGTGCTGTGAGTGCAGGAACATCACTGACCTGTTCATGGATATCAGAGCTGAAACCATAACATGAATCACACACATTAGGATCCACAGATGTTTCCCTCTTCAGCGAATTTTATTTTGTAGTTTCCGAATGAAACGAATAGTTCACCCTGAAATGAAAATACTGTAGTACTGGATTTTCTTTGAATTGGGTGTCAAACTCCATAAACGTACTCCATGTGACAATATTCCAGATAGCATTGTGTCGAGGAGCAGATGGAAATTTACACGTGTCGAGACGTGTTGCACCAGTTTTGACATCAGTGATGGTCACGAATCATTGACGTCAAACCTAAATATGAGATTTTCAGCAAATAACAATTTAAGTTTAACTCCACACCTCATGGAGAACTTGGAATGTAGCATAAGAGCGATATGGATTATATGGGTACACTAAATCTCGCATTGCATCTGAGAACAGCTTCTGTGTGGTCTACTCAAGACGTCAACGTTTGGCAGGTTAGCATGTTAACGGCTAGCCCCTGCTAACTGGATCCAAAAAGCAACTTCCTCCCATGATGGCTGTTTAAAGGGACAGTTCACTCAAAAATTTTAATTCAGTCATCATCGACTCACTCTCATGTTGTTCCAAACCTTTATGAGCTTTTTTTTCTTCTGCTGAAGATATTTCGAAGAATGTTGGAATGATGGTAATTTGGAAGTCAATAGGAACAAGCACATTCTTCTTTTGTGTTCAGCAGGAGACAGACACTCATACAGTTTTTGAGGGTGAGTAAATGATGACAGAATGTTCATTTTTGGTTAAACTATTAATCTAATGTGAAAATATTTACATCCAACATATAAATCACATAATATAATATTGCTTGACATATTAGCATAAAATACTTAGCACTTTTATAATCTTAAACTTATATTTTAAATGTCAACCTTGTTACGCTTAAAAGCATATTTAGGATTTATGTATTTGGAATGCATATAAAATT